TACACGTCAGAGGAGGAAACGTCTGAAAATGTAAAATAATAAGATAAAAATAATAGTAATCGATAAATATCCCAACACGTCCAAATCAGAGTTTTATAGTTTCTTGATGCTGTAAAACCAGAAAACTCTGGAAACGATTAAAAGATAAATAGAAACATCTGCAAGTTAATTATGAAAAAAACAAGTTAATATCAGAGTCTGAAGCAAATACGACAATTTAAGTCTGATTCACGAGACATGAGACAAAAAGGGAAGGAAGGAAGGAAGGAAGGAAGGAGGGACAGACAGAAGGAAATAAGAAAGAAGGAAGACAGGAAGGAAAGAATGAAGGAAGATAGAAAGAAAGGATATCTAAACTTCCTCCCCCTCCCCCCCCATGTCCTTCTGTTGCTTCTTTTGTCTTTTGACTGGTCACCCCATTTAACATGGGCAGATAACATCAGCCTGACGGAGATTGGGTTCCTCAGCAGCGCCATTGTTGGGGTGAGGTGGGGGGTGAGGTGGGGGGTGAGGGTGAGGTTCTTGCGTTACAGTCGGACTCGTTTAACTCAGTTTTCTTTTAGGAAACGAACAAATTGCTGCTGAGTCGCTCTTTGTTGTGTTTGGTGCTGATCTCAGATCAGGTGATCGAGCTGCTGCGGCTTCGCTCAACAAGTCGCAGCCAGAAATCTTCTTGAAAACTGGATTCAAGGTTTCAGGAAACCGACTCGGTCTCATCCAACGTGCGGAACATTAACCTGTGCAGTGATTGGTGGATGGAGCCTCAACTAATTGTTTAACGTCCACTTTGACTTTTTGTTTGGTCCATGTCCCATCTGCTAACATGGAGGAGGTGGAGTTTAAGACCTGTTCTGCAGTCTGACACCAGGGGGCAGTCCAGGCTGCAGAACGATTTACTGACTGTCAGGGTTCAGGCAGCTGCAGGGATTGGTTGTTGGGAGATGGGGGGGTCGGTGAGAGCAGGTTGATTGGTTGATTGGTTGGTTGGTTGATTGGTTGGTTGGTTGGTTGATTGATTGATTGATTGGTTGATTGGTTGGTTGGTTGATTGATTGATTGGTTGGTTGGTTGGTTGATTGGTTGATTGATCTGACTGTAAGGAAAATGCCACTGGACAGGTGACCTGAACAGGTGACGCCTGCGTCCTCAGCGATGATGTCGTCATGACGACTGGTTGCTCCGACGAGAAGTTGAAGTTGTATTTTTCTGTCACAGTCTGATTCTTTGTTGCCGGGTAGATTTCTGTCCGTCAGCTGATCGATTCAGCTTCAGGCTGCAGAAAAACTGAGTCAGTGGGGGACCGACATCAAATGTTTGCCCTGGGGCCCCCTGTAAGGTTAATCCGGCCCTGCTGCTGCACACAGACATAAATAATTAAAGATTTCTCTGAATATATTTCATTAATCAGAAAATTAACACGATGATCAACTAAATAAATTAAGACAAAAGAGTTTGTGTGTAAGCAAATGAATCAAAACCATTTATTTTCTGTCCACAAGGTGAAATAGTGAAATATCACAA